AAATGTAATAGCCCAGATAGGTGTTGTAGAAGATTGTAACCAATCAATAGAAGTTAATACAGGAAATAATATTGCACCTATGTCTTAGCAAAGATATTTATATAAATATTATTGTTAGTTAATAAATATATTTACAATTTTATAACTATTAAATAAAAATTAAATACCAAAATAGTTAAAATAGTTCCAAATGTCAGTAACCCAAGATAGAGAAGAATATATAAATTGTCGAATTTCAAAAGTAAGATGTAAAATTCCAAGAATAATAGTTAAAAATAATAATAGATTCTGAGTAGTATTTGATAATCCATTTATCGTACTAACTATTAAAAAACAGAATATAAAAATAAAATAGAAAATAAAAATAGCAAAAAAATAATATTTTCCATAAGTGTTCTATTTGAAACTAAGAAGAGCTTCACCATGCCAAGATTTATATAGTTCAGGAAATTGATGTTTAGAAAAAATGCTAGAACTAGGAAAAATTAATTCTTTCCAAAAATTATATTTACTATTATAAGAACTAAACTTTGGTAATGGAAAAACTAAAATTATAAATTGAAAATTTTTATAAAAAGAATTATATGTATATTCAATTTTATCAGCTACAATTAACAATGTATTAAAAATATCAAAGCTATTTTTAATTAATGTGATTAATATATAAGGAAGGCAGAAAATAATTGTTGACCAACCTAATATTATCGAAATACAATTAGAAAATTTTTCTTTTATATTACTAATATTAATATTAATAAATGAAGGTTGTAAATATTTTATATAATTCTTAAGATGTGGTTCTGAAAAAATAATAGATTCAATTTCTTCAAAATTATTAGTTGAATGAATAAATGAAGTATATGAGAAAAATTCTCTTAAAAATTGGGGAGATTGTGTTAATTCTATAAATAAAAAAGTAAGAATATCCAATGACCGGATCTTTACTAAAAAATTATCATCTTCTATTTCTTTAAAAATTTTATTATATATTCTCTCTACCATTGAATAATTTTTTGATTTTAAATAAGACTTTAAAAGTTCCTGGCCATATAATTTTATTAATATATTATCTTCAATATAATCATCTAATAACTCTTTAAAAAAATATCTCTCTTTCATATGTAATTCATCACAATTTAAAATAATCAATTCAAAATTTGGTGCTGGCAATAATTTTTTTTCATATATCTATAAATTCTCTAATATATCTTCTAATATTTCTTCATCCCAGTGAATGTAATATCGTAATCTAATTTTTTTATCTTTCTGCCAAATTGACCATATGAATAATCCAAAAGATGTAATCATCACAAAATCTTCATTATATAATAACTTATAATAATATTTAACTTCAGTATTTAATCTTGCATTATAAAAATAATTAAAGTTAACATCTAATTCTATTTGATCTATAGGTTCCCATTTGTTTAAATCAAAGAAAAAAGCTTGCACCACTCTTCTGTTGCTTACTTTCCACATCACTAATGATCCCTCATATGGTCTATCAAAATCTGATTCTTGTTTAAATTTAAATTCTTCCAAAATCTCTACTATTTCCGATTTGGTCGGTAGAGCTCTTATTTTACTATTTTCATTTAGTGTTTCTCGTAGATATTTGATCCATTGTTTTTTAGAAACCTTTTGAACCCATAAAAGTCCATCTGATACATAATATATTTTATTATCTATTAATGTTTTAAAATCGACATACAGATTTAAAATTTTGTTACACAGATCTGAAGTCTTATAATTTTTGACATGTTGAAGATAATAAGGGTCTCTTATTTCAAGTTTGTCATCATCAAAAAATAAAAGTAATCTTTCTTCTCCATCAGATGAAATGAATTCTAATTGCAATAACTTTTCAGTTTGACCTATTAATTTATTATAAATTAAAGAATTATAATAAATAAGCTGGTGGTGTTTAGCACTTAATTTAAGATTAAAATTAGGTTTCTTCTGCGTTGAACATTATTACTTAGTGCACCAAACACCATTTATTTTTTTTCTTTGAAATATGAATTCGAAATATTTATAGTTCTATTTGCAAAAAAGTGTTAAAATTTCTATATAAAAAATCCGATTAACACCTTTTTGCAAACAAAAAAACAAATTAAAGAACTTACATTGTGATAAAAGCATCGAACTATCTGTCAAATAAATGTAAATTAGATCATCTGTATATACCGCAAGTAATGTAGAATTTTTATTAAAAGTACAATGCAAATTTAAATTTTCATCTCTAAAACGGGGTGTATCTAATTGATATTGTTTTTCAAATAATAGTGAATTTAAATTCCATTGTGTTAATGACCCACATCTATCAAGAAGCATAATCTTTTCTTCATTACTTAGACAACAACACACCACATTTCTACAGAAACTTGAATTACTAATCGTCCAGATTTGATTATGTAAATTTTTAAATGAAAACCTAAGAATAAAACTGTTATACAAATTGGTATGCAAATAATGCGATTTCATTATATTGATTGCAAAATCTTCATTATAAAATTTATACTGATAAGTATTAAATCGTGAGTATGAACATAAATCTAGCTTTATCTCCTTCTTCTCCTTGGTGGCAAGATTAATAATCCTACAATCAGAAGACTCAGAAGAGCCAATGCGACTTATTGCGACAAGTTTATTGTTTGAAACTGCTTGTGGTTGTTCAGCTTCTTTAATTTTTTTTAGACAATCAAGCTTAAAGGATTTAGGTTGATATGATTCGTGTTCTGATTGTTCAACTAATTTCTTTGCCGATTGTTCCACTGATTGCTCTATGGGTTGATCATCAAGTTGCCATCCACAAATCGAATGATTCTTTTCGCTTCATGTCACTGAGTACTTGCCATCTGGTGATAAGAATAGTTTTGTAATTTCATCGTGTGGTTCAGTTTGTTCAACCTCTTTTTCAGTTTGTTCAGAATCCATATCAATTATTTCTGACATTTTTTTTTAAAAAAAGAAAAACATTTCATACGCGATTTTATTCTTTAACAATATGTGGCTTAGAGTACTATTTGGCATGCAGTGTTTGCATATGCTTAGTTAAATGGCTATTATAACTTAGCCGACTTAAACAACTCAGCTTGCTAAGGCCTAAAATTTACTAATTTAGAAAAACCAAACAATAAGCATAATTTTTAGACTTCAAACTCAGTATACTTTATATAAATATTTGTTTTATATTATATGATCAATGTACGTATCCAAGTCTTGATGACGAAGTTGCTTATATTCGCATTATTTATATAGCTTTTTTGTTGTGCACTGTGCACTGGAACTAGTGTTGTTAGACGAAACCACAGTCGAAAGGCGAAAAATAGTTTCGACTTACGCCAAAAAAAAAAAAAAAAAAAAAAAAAAAAAAAAAACTAAAAATAATAGGAGAAAAGGCAAAGTTGGCAAAATTAGTAAAAGTGTCAAGACTAAATAAGTAATTAAGGAAGGTTAATACTCTTTCATGTTATCATCAATCACTTTGTTAGTACTTGTTCATCTTTAAATCCTTATATAAAAATCATTTATATACATATTACTTATGTCAGATTTGCTGCAATATGCATATTTTCCACAATTAGAATTTTTAATAATTCTTGATTATCAAATAGGATCATCCAAAAGTGTATGGTTCAATTCGAGTTTTGCATTCGTCTACAAAATATTGATTCTGATTGGATGTAGTAATTGAATGATTTCATGACGTAATACAGAGAGACCTCTCTAAGTGCACCTCTATAAATGCAGACTTTATATAAAATCTCTTTAAATGCACGGTATAATCTAGTCCTAGCTTATAATTGCACAACATATTTTTCTCTCTATAAATGCACACCCTCTCTAAGTGCACATTTTTAGAATTTTTCACTATACCCCCAAGGGGGGTGCATTTAGAGAGGTCTCTCTGTAATCTACATTCTTGGCAACCTGAAATGTGTACCAGGTTGCACTCTGGATGATCTTGTAACAGTTCGGAATGAATATCTTTAGCACACGGTTAACTATATATATTTATTTTCATTTATTAGGTACTTCGCGTAAATATTACAATACCAAGCACCCGATTTGTCACGCAGAACATCTGTTAATATGGGTCAAATGTGCGACGCATCTAAATTTTATAAGTAAAATTTGGAAAATTTTTGCTTCTTAGGCTTATTTAACAATAAAGAAGCTGTCTATTTAATTTTTTGGTGTCATTTTGTAAATTCTCTAGCATCTGAAGGTTCTTCTTATGAAATTTTAAAGGTAGTTAAAAATTAAATTGGAAAGAATCATGGTCACGAAGTTGGCCAGCTTTTTTACGATTTTTATAAGTAATATAAAGGGTCTAATGCAAGTCTAATTACAAACATAGTGCAGATGATATAGTAATAATTATTAATCAATATTTTTTATAATTAGAGTAGCGTAAATAGTAAAAACATATAAAATTTAAATGGCAATAACTCTTAAACAGGCAAACCTGGGATAGGCTACTGTGCAGGCTGCGTAGCCTGCCAGTATAATTTTTATAATTTAGGTTAGCTGGCATAA